CGTTTTTTTTCATTTTCTTTTTATTTTACTTTTTGCCTTCCTCGTCTTCATACTTCTTCATCTACTCCGTTTCTCTCTGTTTTTTATGGCGTCCTTCGTGTTTTCGCTCTTCCCATGTTTTCATTTTTAATTTTCCTTCACCTTATTTCTTTTTTGCAATTTGATATTTTGCCTCTGTTTCTTTATTATTCTCTATCTCCAGTATTTATCTTTCTTCTGTCGTGTTTCTGAAGCCTTTTAAAAATGATCTACAACTCTCAGTTGCTGAAAAGCGTCTCCATATTTTTTACACTGTGTTTTTCGTTTGCGAACTGAACACGGCTGGGCCGTGTGGCATGCGTAACCCGTTGTATATTTATTGAATCCGTCATCTCGGATCGCATCGACAATCAGCTGTTCTGCTCGAGGTTTGACCCTCATCGGGCTGAAGCCGCTATAACATACCTCTACTTACTACCGCCGGGCGGTCGTAGTCGAATGTCACGTCCTGCAGCAGCTGTTGTTTTTTTTGCCTTTCGAAACCGGTTCAGAAAAAGGTCGACGAGACGACGGAATTCGGTGGCCATTCACAACCGATTTCCTCAGATACACTCAGCGTCCGACTTGTGACCGTTCAAAATTCAACTGGTGCGTTTTTTAGCCTTTTATCGATAGATCTCCTTGTCGTCAAGAACCAGCCATATCGACGGAACCAGATTGTGTGTGTACGTGGGAGGGCAGGGAGGGTAATTGGCACACCACCTCTAAACAATGGAGATGGAGACGGCCTGTTGCGAAGGCACCATCTTCTTGCGCTATCTGTCACCTGGTGGATGAACATCCGGTTTCTCGACAACGTTCGTTCTTCGTCCGCTCCCACTCTACTGGCTCTATCTTACAGTAGCTGTGTTGACGGCAGTCAGGTTGCATTCATCCACACACAATTTGTCAGGCGTGTTTTTTGGTCCAGATTATGCGCGTACTTTCCGCGGCATGGTGTCTTCGTCGACGACGACGTTCGCGTCGCGACGTCCGTCGTTTTTCTGCGGTTCGGCGCTGGCTTCTGTACTAATATGATGGAAGAATCGCCATTTGACCGGTCACCGCCTGACCACGGCCTGCCAACTGCCAGCGCTGCAGCTTCATTCTTGACGTCGACAACCGTCCGAGTTGTGTGACCAGTCATCGACCATCGTTGACCATCCGCTGACCGTGACGTCACGGACACAGGCGACGTCCGTCTGCCATGCCGTTCCGGCATTCGAAAAGTTATGACCTGACCGAATTGTACAAACGCCTCGAGCAAACTGACCATCACCAACTGGTCGTTCTCCGGGCCCTGCGACACCGGGACTTAATGTCGTCGCCATCTCTCTCCCGGCGGCGACTGCCATCCAGCCGTCGGCCACTGTCTACCTATTGTCCGCTGGTATTGCTTTACTGGTTTTATTTGTTTGTTTGTTTGTATTTGGTCGATTTTCGCTTTCTGGCTGCCTGTTTGCGTTTTTTTATCTTTCGTTTTTTCCCTCGTTCCTTATCGTTTATCGATTCGATTTGGCGGTATTCCTACCCGTTGATGACCTGTCCACTTGTCACCTGTCAGTGCCAGTCCTAAATCATAAATCTTCTGATTACCTGCTTTTCATCACTTCAATAATCATCGTCACTCGTCTTCTCTAATCGACGAAACTTACGTTCTGAAGTGTCTTCCAAGTGCAAAGTTGAAACTTACCGGTTGTAAACCATCGTGGACTTTTTATTTACCTCATTCTTCAACTCATCATACTTCAGCTACCGCTTTGTGCTTTCTTCAATGCTTGTTAAATCGTCGTATCTTCCCACGCCGCAGTCGTCATCGCTCATTCATTTATCTTTGCTTCATTATATCCCCTCGTCTTGCGCCGCATGCGTTCTTTATTGTTCTACGCACGCGATTACGCACAATTGCTTATACGAACTACACTCTGGCCGCCTTGCTACACACTACTTCCCATACTGGCTGTGCACCATGTATGAAACATAAGATTCCCATGTGCCGTTGTGTACTTTCGAAATTACATCTGTATAAATTTACATCGTCCGCTCGAATTCCTATGCGTCGGAACCACTCGTATGAGGCCGAATCATACGCATGTTGAGAACAAATTAAGTTTTTTCTCTCTAAAATTATCAATAAGTGAATGTATGGCAGTAAATAAACAATTAGGTATGTAGGTAGTTCGGTACATTCGTCACTTATTCAGTAAACACGTCAATAAGTCAGTTAAAAAGAGTACTGGGAAATCAGTTAGTCTCGCTAAGTACGTAAATGATTATATAAGTCCGCAGCTAAGTAGCCACGTGAGTAAGTAAATATGTAATTTAGTTGGTAAATACGCAAGTTACATATTAAGTAATGAAGTTAGGTAGCGAAATAGTACGTAAGCATGTGAATAATTTACTACGCATTTAAGTCAGTAATTAGTAATGTAGGAAAGTATGTAAATACATAGGTATGAACGACGAAACTCTGTACGCAGGTTTGTAAGTACGTGATTAAGTACATGCGTAAGTACTGAAGTGAATAGATCAGTAATTGGCGTTACGAATATCCTACTTTCTGCATAACTACTGTTCATCAACACGTGCAGTTAAACATTCGCTGTTTCGAAATAGTAACTGCTTGTATAGTCGAATTTCAATCGATCAGTGTTACTACGGTAGAGGTTTGCTTCTCACACTCTGAAACTGATTCTGTCATCAGGGAAAGATGCGTATATAACATACACTACAAAATAGGCGAAATTT